CTGACAATCATCAAAAGTTCCTTCAACTGCGAGATTATGAACATTGTTATCTAGTACGGTAGTCATTTGAGCTTCTTGCACAGGGGACACTTTGCCTCGGGGATGTAGGATGAATACAGAAATATCTTTTTTATTTCGTAAACCATAAATCGCTGCACTAAATCAAATGTGATTACGGAATTAGAAAAAGTATTAATTTATATTTTATTAATTGGTTTATATATATATATATTTACCTTCCAGTATCGCCACTAGTAGCTCCAAGAATTGTAATCCTTTCTCTTTTAGTCGTGTTTTTTCCTTCTAAAATCTCTTCCAAGTTTTTTTTTTTTAATAAATACTCAAATAAATTTCCCAAAAACTGCAATGCAATATCTTTAAAGGCGAAAGTAGGTCCATGAAATAATTCTAATATATAAAGATTTTCTCTGAGTTTTTTTAATGGAGTAATATCAGATGCCCTGAACGTTGAATATGATTTATTAATCAATCTTTCCAAATCTTTACGAGGAATTTCGTCGTCAGGTATATAAAGTGAAAAAATTTCAAGGGCTAAAGAAGTGAAAGAATGATTTAACCAGGAAGTTTTCCAGTCTGAAGGGAGAGTTGGAATCGTTTGTGGAATAAAAAGTCCGCCATCTTTAGACAGGCCTATTAAGACTACTTCTGAGAATGTAAGAAGATCTGGCGAGCCTCTTGTTGAAAAGTATTTCATTTTTTTTTTCAATTTAGTTATATAGAACAAATAAATTAAGGTTGATAACAGATAATCGATGATCGGCAACCCTAATTTTTTAATTTATTTCCAAAATCTTATCATAATCACGTATTATTTTCTTCCGTATTGGTACGTATGTGTTTTTGCAATAACGATAATTATCGTTATAAAATTTTTAATTGCACATTCTTTCCGAAAACCTACGAATATTCCGGTATTCATTTATTTACTGTACATGTACATTGATCTGTTAATTCAATAGGATAACGTAATGAATGATATTAGTGAAGACATTGAATTGTCAAAAGAGGACATTGAATTTTTTAAAGAGCATGAACAATATATCGGGTTTTTGTAAGATACTTAAATAAATTAATTTTTAATTATTAATACAGATATAATAAATTAAAAAAAAAAGAAAAATTTAGGAATAAATCCGAGGATTCTGATACGGAACAAATTTATGAAAAAACCCCTCGATCAAATAAATCTTGGATACCTAAAGAAACCACAAAACTTCCCATTAAACTTCCTGATGGTAAAATAAAACATCAAGAAACTAATAATGACTCGAATAATGAAAATGAAGAAAAAGACGAAATTTCTTCCTCAGATAGTGATAATTATGATGAGAATCTTCAGGATGACATGAAAATTGATAAATCAGATGAGAATGATGTTGCGTCAAGCAATAATGATATTATTCAAAAGAAGGAGGAGTTGGCCATGATAGCTCAAATGATTATTGAAGATCCAGAAAATAATGTAATATGAATTCTAAATATCCATATTTGACAATTTAAATATTAAATTTGCTTAATAATTTAAGATCGGGCAACTTAAAATTCTGAGAGAGATCGCAACGAATAATAACCTAACAATCAAGAAGCTGGCATTATTGACTCAGCTTGTAGTATATAAAGATATCATTCCAGGGTATGGCTTCCAATTGTAAATGTTTGTCTTTAACATGCTTGGGCTTCATATAAATCATAAATTTTAACCTTTATAGTTATCGGATACGACAATTGACTGATAAGGAAAAGGCTACAAAGGTTAAATAATTATTATATATAAATTAAATAATGAATAATTCACGAAACTCATGACATTTTGTATTGATATTTGTTATAACTATTTTAAATAAAAGGTATCAGAAGAAGTCAAAAAATTACGACATTTTGAACAAAGTCTTATATCTAATTATCAAGCTTATTTAAACTCTCTGGAAACCGAATTGAAAGGTGTGAATTATCTGTTAGCATTATTCTCACAATACGGGATTGTTTTTCTTCCTTTAATTTTTAACATTTTTCAATTATCTTCTAAGAACATACTATCGCAGAGACAGCATTAAAATGTATGTGTGATCTCTTGATGTCAGTCACACATTTTAATTTTCGATCGAATTTGATGATGACTATTGTGAGCAGAATGAGTACTGCAGAATTCACTAAGGTTTATTTTTAATATTTTCATATTTGTAAATATCGTCACTGGCATTCACGTTCTGATATTATTCCAGATGTCTGCGATGTGTTGTGAGGCAATAATTGACGTCTTTCAAAATGATGAGTCCGGTGAAGCAAGTTTAGATGCAATTAAATTAATAACTAAGATGATTAAATCCAAAGGTTATGTTGTGCATGAAGAGGTATATTATTCATTTTTACAGAAAAAATTTTAATAATAATGCTTCTAAGAGAAATTCTTTTTTTTTTTTTTTTGACATAGGTTTTGAATACTTTTTTGCATCTCCGATTAAAAGAAGAACTAAGTATTAAAACATCAAATAATGAGAGTTCCGTCAATAATCAAGCCAAAGGTAAAAAGAGGAAATATGATAAACAAGAACCAAAAAAGCATTTGTCAAAAAAATTGAGGAAATTGGATAAAGAGAGAAAAGAAGTTGAAAAGGAAATGAAAGAGGCCGATGCTGTTGTGAATAAAGAGGAAAGAGAAAAAAAGGTATGCCATTGTCACAAAGAATGATGAGTTATGTTCACTCATACTAGATTTCATCTTATTCATGTGTTTTATTATATCAGCACACAGAAACATTGAAATTGGTCTTTATTACTTATTTTCGAATATTAAAACATGCCAATTCGTCCCCGCTCTTAGTTTCTGTTTTGGAAGGACTAGCAAAGTTGTATTGCACACACGCATATTTTATTTTTCATCTTGTTCTTTAGTAATTTACTATTTATACTCATCATATGCAACCTCTATTATTTTAGGTTTGCACATCTTATCAATGTTGAGTTTTTTAATGATTTACTAGAATTACTCAAAAAGATAATGATTGGTCCACAAACTGAAGACGATAACGGTAATTCTAGTAGAAGAGTAGATACACGGATAAGTTTATTATGCATAATAACTGCATTTCAGCTACTTTCTGGCCAAGGTATATCAATATGAATTTTTACTTATCATCGATTACATTTTTTTTTTTTTTTACAGAATTTTTTTCATTCAACAGGTGAAGCACTTAATATCGATCTAAAAGATTTCTATACACAAATGTATAAAATATTAATGCCACTTGCACTAAATCCATACATGGAACAAAATGAAAATATAAGAAAGCGAAAGACAATAGTGGATAACAATAAAGACGAAATTAAATATAGTAATAATACAAGTGTGTCATCAGAACAACAACTATTGATGGAAGGATTTGATTACATGTTTTTTAAGAAAAGAACGGTGAGCTGTTCGTAAAAATGTTTTTATAAAAATTAATAGTACACTGTTATATTTATTTACGTTTACGCAAGTTGGTTGCATTTTTAGATTCCCATTGAGAGATCTGCTGCATTTTTGAAACGACTTTCAATTTCGTGTTTAAACTGGCCGAGTAAAACTGTATTAATATGCTTAGAAAAAATGCAAAAAATGATTCAGGTGAGCCATCATTAATTGTACTTAAATTATTGTTAATACCGTTTTAAGATTAATATTGTTTATCATATCAAAAGAAACAATCACGATTAGATGCACTATTAATATCAGACGATAGAATCTGCAACGGAGTGTATCGCGCAGACTTGGACGATCCTGAACTATGCAATCCACTGACAACCAATTTGTGGGAGTTGAGTTTATTAGAGGTAATATAAAAATATTGGATTCCTGTTCTTAAAGTGGATTGAATGCGAAATTTCAAATTTATACCTTTTTTTTTTTTAATTCCATTAGAGCCATTATGATCCAAAAATACGTGCTATGGCAACATCTTTAGCAACTTTTGTGCCGAATGGTGAAAGGCCCTTGTGATTGCTGGAACTGAGAAGCGAAATGAAAACTTACAAGCCTTAATGTGTGAAATTTTCGGTTCTCGGTTCAACAGACCCTGAATTGAGTTCAGCATCCACAAAATGAACTTAATTCAGAATCATTGTTTAGATACCAAAATCTTAGTTTAAAATATATTGATAACCTTTTAATAAAAAAAAAACTTTCTTAATTAAGTTTATTATGTAAATCAAATCTACAGTACATGTGGCTCTATCGATCGACTGATATGTCTATTCTTGTAAGAGTTAACTGTATATCAATAGTAGGCAAATGATATTTGTAGCAAATTTTACTATAATAATTAAAGCCAATGAATCTCTTAATATATATAGAAGTGTAATTATTAAAATATAGTACATATTTTAATAACCAAGTGTGTTTTGAAAAATTTTTTTATATAATTTTATAAAATTTTATTGTGAAATTTTTAAAAAAAAACTAGCTGGACAAATTAATTTAGAAGTTTTATATTATAAAATTCAAGAAATTAAATTTGTATCCCTTAATTTGTAATATAGACAAATATGCCTGTGTTTTTATTAAAAATTTTAATTTTTTTTTTTGACAACTCTTTCTAGGACCAACTTTTCAAAACAAAACATTTTAACAAAAACAGTAAAACTATGTTAGAAAAGAAGGACATAAGACTGACAAGAACTATAAACTGGCATTTATTATTTAGAAATAGTTCTAATATACTATCTGCTAATAGATTTAGAGCTTATTACTTATTGTGAAAACAGCACTTGTTATTTAGAAGTAGTTTTCATATGCTACTTGCTAACAAGTTCAGAGTTTATTATTTACTAAAAAAAATATTAGTAGTGTGCTTGAATCTACTTATCTTATTATTTTTAAAGAAATACATACTCTTCCTTAAAAAAAGAACAAAATCTATACTCTTTACTATCACCTATTTGTGTTTACAACAAAATTTTTAAAAAAAGTAGATAAAACAGCTTACTTCTATTAAAAGATTAGCATTGTTTACTTTTTTTAAATTTGGTCAACCTAATAAATTGCAACTATGTGTTTTGTTTGGTAACAAATATATTATTATTCTACATGACAAGACCTATTGACTAGTTTTCAATTAAAGATTTATCTGTATTTGGTTATATAGTTAAAAAGAAACTAATACATTAAAATAAAGTTTTGTAGTAGAGATATACAAATATTGTATTTGTATATAATTTTTAAGCCTTATATAGATTACAATAATGCATTTTTTTTTATTGTTTTGTTGTTTAGCCTTGTTTGAGTCTTACTTGTTTTTTTTATTTTTTTCTTCTATAATTATTTTAAAATCTTATATTTAGGTTTTTGATTTTTCTCTCTTTATAGTTATCTTTTCTTCTGATTGTTCTTCTTATTTTTTCTTTTTTGCAATATGTTTTATTTTTTTTTTTGTTTTTCTTAATTATATTATATAGAGAAACAGGCTTGTTAAAACCTTTCTGTCAAAATCTAGATAGAAAAAATAAGTTTTGGCTTTTAATAGGGCTAACAATATTTTTTGTTCTATATATAATGCAGTATAATAAGTTATATCTAGATACTTGAGAAGCAACCAGATAATATTGTATTTGATTATTTTAGTTTAGATACATCACATGTGTTTTGCATATATAATAATTATCTTGTTAATAAAGATAGTAATAAAACTATCAAAAAGTTAAAAAAAAAAAAAAAAA